GGTGTGTGTGTGTGTGTGTGTGTGTGTGTGTGTGTTTGTGTGTGTGTGTGTGTGTGTGCGAGTGAGTGTGTGTGTGTGTGCGTGTGAGTGAGTGTGTGTGTGTGTGTGAGGGAGTGTGTGTTTCTTTTACTGTTCAGTAAACAACACATAAGAACAAGAACAAAAATGGAATAGTTTCAATGTTTTAATTTGAAAAGTGAAGGGGAAAAATACCCACAACAAAAATAACAGCAACGGTGAAATCTCAAGTCAAATAATTTGTGGGAAATTGTGACCCAAAACAGACAAAAGGATCACCAAAGATATTCGTAACATAAAAAAGAACGCATGTTCTGAAACTGTACACATAAAATCAATATAGTGTACTTCAGAAAGTAAGAAAAATTAAAAAGGTATAATTACTTACAGTTGTAACAGATTTCACAGACTCCTGCACTCGCAATTGTTGCGAATTAGATTTATTTCGAAAAAAATGTTTCTTGTCAAAGGGAAGCAACAGCTGTAATAGTTAGTGGGGGAGGGGGGGGATCATCTACAGTCATTTCCCTTGAATTTTAGCCACGTTCGAAGCCTCTCAAGTGTGAGGGGCTAATCTTGGACTAATTTTTCAGTGTTCTATGAGTAGACAGTTACATAAAATTTCGAAAGTTTTATGGCAAAAATATGGGTCAGTTTTTTAAATTACCAAAATTCACCCCCCAAAAAATATTCCAAATCTAGCAGTGTAATATGTTTTAACAAAGTGTATCCACTAGTCTTCATCATGTGAGCAAAAGCATGGCTTTCACTTTATAACAATTTTTTAAAAATATATGTATAGTAGGTAATATTATAATAATTTTATAGTAATCCTTTTAAACAGATGGATAGTACAGCCATATTAATTTTTTTTAATGAACAGGAGTCAGTGAGTATAATACTAGACTGCATTTGTCGAAGGTAAAGTCCTGGTTAGAGAACATTATTGTTATAGGCTCTTTGTGCCAGGCTGATCATTTCACAGTAATCAAAATAAACAGCATATTATTATAGTAAATGTATAGCGCAAACTCACGGTCAACAGCAAATACCTGCCTGCTTTACGTACATACTTTACAATCAACCTCCAAAATGCCCCAATCATCTATTTGCACACACACACACACACACACACACACACACA